CTCCTCAGCCTTGTGCTTCTGCCTGGCCTCTGCAATTGCATCCTTCCACCACAGCTTGAGGAAAGATTGGTCATCCTCAATGATATGGGCGGCAGTGCCCCATCCTTCAACCTGCCAACCACCACCACACCCACCCTCCCCTCCACTAACTTCAGCACCTTGGCCACAGCCTTCTGCTGGTCAAACAGCAGCAGCAAAATAGCAATGTAGCTCAATGCCCAAGCAATATCCTTGCAGGTGTCATAATCATATTGATCATGTGATGGCCATCAGATCCACCAGTGCATGGATTCTGGCCAGATCTGCCTTCACTGATGCAAGCTCCTGGCGCACCTTTTGCATCACCTGATCCAATGCTGACACTGCTGCTTCGCCAGCCACGCCAGCCTTGACCTCCCCATGATGTGCCCCAGCCCTGGTGGTGGCCCTTACAGTATCCTCATTTGATTCTCCATTAGTTCTGTTGCTGGTGGTGGCTCAACCCAATTCTGAGGCGCCAGAGCTTCCTGTTCCAGTGGCCTTTCAAGCCTCAGCCTCCACTCTCCAAAGTGCCTTCACCATGGATGCCTTTGTAACTGATCACAGAGCAGATCTTCTTCAACTCAGCAACTGTCATGTCATTCAGTTGTGCCTCTGTTTTACTCCTAATAATGTTCACCTTGCTCTCTCTATTGTGTCTCCTCTACAACAGACAGGTGTGTCAGTTGTAGACAAGAAGAAGAAAAAATACCAACCTCCTTCTCCACCTGCGGAGGCAACCCCTTGCTGGGTTTGCATGCAGGAACAGGAAATCCACTTGACACCACAGCTCTCAATCCAAAACCATGACAGATCTCTCTGCAGACCACATCATGGTGGCAGTGGCTCCTCCAATATGAAGGGAATGTGATGACACCACATCCACTGTGGCATCATGCACCATCTGCTGGCAGATTGAGGAAATGGTGCTCAAGGTCAGTGGCCAACCACTGGTTGCGCGAAATAACAGCCCAGGAGCCCTTCCTGAAGCACTGATACAGCTGCATGGGGCACCACAGCTTGAGATGAAAATGATTTCATAAAAACTTGGAATTTGTGGAGTTAAAAGTGATTTTAAGTTGAGGAATAGTGCTCCAATTCAGCACAAATGTGAAGAATGAAGTTCAGTGCATGTGTGCAACTGACTGAATATGGTGTGAGGTTGAACATGAACTGGATGTGAGGGCAGCATGTTGGCCACTGATTTTGGAATTGATGGAGGGTATGAAAGCAAAAGCAAGGTGCAGTTTGTGGTTGTTCAGAGGAGCACTTACACAAAACAAGCAAAGTTCTGATTTTCCAGATCATGTATGTGTGCATGATGAACTAAGTATTGGTAGGTCAAACATGTAGTCATTGTGTATGTGTATGTGATAAAGTAAGTGTCTGGTTTTACAGTTTTTGTTGTTGTGTGTGCATAGGTGCAAGTCACCCTGCCATCAGCCATGGCCAACAACAAGGAACTGTTGAAGCTCCTGAAGGAGGTAACTGCCCCATTGCATACATGCTATTATCAAAGCCCATTATGCTTTGAAACTGCAGGACATTCTATCACATACATGTACACAATAGAATGTTTGCTAATTTATCTCCTCCTAGCCCCACAGATCATGTGAAGATGAATGCTGCAACAATTTGATATCAACTGAATGACAAAGAGCAGCTCCAGGCCACCCTCACAATGAGCAGCCACCTCCTCAGGAGGCCAAGAAGTAAGAGATGAAGGGCACTCTCCACACTGAGATGTGACAAAAGGCCCCTCTGAATTGCTTGTGTAAAGAATAAAAATTGACTTTTTGTCCAGTTAAATCCCAGCAGCTGTGATTTTTCCTTTTATGGTTTCTGTGTGCCAGCCGTTCAGGAAAGTACCGAAAAAATGTGCGTAGTCATCGCGTACGCGTATGCGATAAAAATTGACTTTTTGTCCAGTTAAATCCCAGCAGCTGTGATTTTTCCTTTTATGGTTCTGTGTGCCAACCGTTCAGGAAAGTACCGAAAAAAATGTGCGTAGTCATCGCGTACGCGTACGCGATAAAGTAAGTGTAGCAAAACATGTACATGATAGAAATTGGTCATTCCAGACCTTGACTGATGGCCCAGTTACACCATCATATCTCTCATTATGGTATTTTAATCTGCCATTTCTCAAGATGCTCCCAATTTTGTCTTGCTATTCTTAAATTAAAACCATGTTTGTGTTGTCAAAACTACTTTTATGAGCTTAAACTCACAAACAAAATCACTTTTCAATATGACTGGACCTCTCATTTCAAATGACTGCAAGTTCTTGGTGCACTGCAACTTTGCTTCTGGGATGAGGACACAGCCCTGATGAAGATCAAGCAGCAGCCCCATCACCTTGACCAGTTGAGATGGCTCCCACTGGCCCTTGGTGGTCTCCTGCACCCATCCCAGGTGTTATGCCAACAGGTCAGGCCATTGCCCATCCACTCAATCACCTGTGCCACCACCAGCCTGCCAAGCTCAGCAGCCAGCCAGACCATCTCCCCCTTGAATGGGAGCAGACAATAACCCTTGTCCTCCTCCAGTGCACCCAACAGGGTCAATTGCAGACCCTTGCTTACAATGTCCAGGACCACTGCTCCAGCACCAATCTCCTGCCATGCACTCACACACCTCTCCAGGCAGCCAACCACCACCTGCTCCTTGGGCAGTAGCACCCCCAGACTCAGAGGGCAGTGGTCTTGCTGTCAGGGCATGGATTCAAGTAGTGGCTGGTCT